TCAGCCCTCTGCTGACAGGAGGCAGCTGTGTGGAGGATGGAGTGGAGAGGGGAGGAGACTGGAAACAGAAATCAATTAGGAGGTTAGTAACCACAATAGTCCAGGCAAGAGGTGAAAAGGGTCTGACCTTGGGTGGTGCTAAGCAAGGGATTAAAGAGATGTTGGGCAGGTGAGATTAGAGAGGCCTTGGCAATTGACTGCATACTGGCATGGGCCAGGGGATGGATTCAAAGAAGAGAGACAGGTTTGGGGCAAACCTGGACCACTGGAAGAATGGTTAGTGGTCTCAACTGACACAAGAGCAAGAGAGTTTGGAGAAGAGGTAGGTTTGGGGCGGGGGAGGTGGTATATTAATCTGTTCTCTTTAGGATATGTTGAGTTTGAGATGTCATCCAGGTAGAGACATTCAGCAGGCAGAAGGTGATGGGGGAGGGAGGGTCTGAGTTCAGGGAAGAGCAGGTTAGGCTGATTTGGGTGTCATCTGAGTAGAGATAATAACTGAAGCCATGAAAGATAAGGAGAAGAGGCCCCCATGGACACAGAGGATGAACTAGAAAAGGCTAACAGCCCAGCCTATGGCACTCATAGACCTCCCCCCTCCCCAGCACACACCCTAGCCACATATGCAGGTGCACATTTTATGGTGCCAGCTTGGCCTATATTTTGGGGTTCCTAGGGGCTGATTCATCTCCCTGGGATGGTCGAGGCCATCTTCTGCTCCTCTGGCTCAGCACCAACACATGGTCCCCTGGAAAGGCCAGTTAGCATCCTTCTTCTTGTCCCCATTCCATTCTTCTAAGTCTTCCTCCCAGGAAAACTGGCTCCTAAGACCACAGAATATCTCTTCTCCCGCGTCCCTGGGGAATTACTAGGCATCCCTCTCCCCAGGGCCAACTATTCATCTCCAAGAGGCCAAACCTTGCCTTTTTCCTCCCCTACAACCTAAGTCCTCTAACAACAGTACTCCCCAGCCCCCCCTCCCAACTCAGCCTTTCCTTCTTCCCTTTAGACCCCACTGGACGGAAACTGAAAGGATCATTGAGTTCAAGAAGAGGGAAGGTTGTGGTTAGATGGTGTCTGGCCACTGCATGTGTGTAGACAAATATACTGATGGACATGACCATATACATACATCCTCCTTTTCCAAGGAGCCTTCCCTGATTTCTCTACCTGAGTGATCTCTGTACTAATGCTGACACACTCATACACGTTGTTTACATTGTATCGTACTGTATTGGCCTGAGAATTCAGATTTTACTTTTGTTTCCCTAGCAATAGCCACTCTAGGGTTCTGCTGCTGCTGCAGCTACTACTACTACTACTGTTACTACTACTACTACTACTACTATTACTGTTACTACTACTGCTACTATTACTATTACCACTACTGCTACTATTGCAACTATTACTATTACTACTACTATTGCTACTATTACTACTACTATCATTACTATTACTACCACTACTACTACTAATGATGATAATGACGATGATGATAATGATGATGATGATAATGATAATAATAATACCACCAGAGGCTAAACACCAAACAATGATTTTTTTTTCCTGACCACATGAAACTCATGAAGAGTTTCCCCTCACTAAGGTGGAGAAGATTTGAAATCTGAATTGATGAAAAGAATACCAACATTGATGTAACCATAGATCCTTAAATATTAGAGTAATAATAATACCAAGAAGGGAGACAGAGTGGAGCAGTAGAAGGGTACTGGATTCACTGTCAGAGAACCTGGGTTCAAATCCCAGCTCTGATATTTCCTAGCGATGTGATCTTGGGCAAGGTGGCACAGTGAATAGAGTGCCAGGACTGGAGTCAGGAACACCTGAGTTCAAATCCAGTCTCGGATACTTACTAGCTGGGTGATTAAGGGCAAGTCACTTAACTTGTTTGCCTCAGTTTTCTCATTTGTAAAATGGGAATAAGAGTAGCAGCAACCTCCCAGGGTTGTTGTGAGGATAAAATTAGATAATAATTATAAAGTGCTTAGTATAGTATCTGGCATGTAGTAAGTGCTATATTTTTGTTGTTCAGTTGTTCCAGTTGTGTCCAACACTTCATGATCCCATTTGGGGTTTTCATGGAGATACCGGAGTGGTTTGCTATTTCCTTCTCCAGGTGATTTTACAGATTAGGAAATTGAGGCAGACAGTGTTAAGTGACTTGCCCAGGGTCACACTGCTAGTGAGTGTCTGAGGCAGGATTTGAACTCAGGAACATGAGCCTTCCTGACTCCAGGCCCAGTGCTCTATCCACTGTACAGCTAGGTGCCCAAGTACTATATAAATATTAGCTATTATCATCTTACCTCTCTGGGCCTCAGTTTCCTATCTGCAAAATTAGAGCGTTGGGACCAGATGACCCTCAAGGGTCCTTTCAGCACCAAATCTGTAACCCTCTCGATGACCATAAGATTCCAGTCTGATTCTGCCTCTAATATTTATTGGCCTAGACAGGTTACCCTAAGCACCATTCGTGGAGGGAGCTCTTCACAACAGCCCAGGGAGTTCAAATGCTAACTCCACTTTGTAGATGAAGAAACAGGCTCAGAGAGGGGGAATGATCTTTCCAGTGCTCACTCGATGTTGGATGCATGACTACATACCCCCTCCCCCCAGACATATGCCTGCACACACATTACCCACAAATTCACAAACATACATACAGGCCCATTCAGGTTGACTGCCCCCAACAGGTACTAAGGAAGTCAGAAGCAAATGTCTCATTTCCTCCTTCCTCACCCAGTGCCCAGGGTGGGGCTAGAGTGGGGAGGGGGGGATGGAAGGGATGGTGGGTGGCCTGGGGGTGTTGGGTGAGGTCAGAATCCCAAAGTGAGTTGTGGGTGTGTATTAGGGGCAGGGAGGAGTCGATGGGAAGCCTTGATCCCGGCTTCCTTGTGGGGGGATCTAGGGCATTCATTACCCAGGCTCTGAATGATGCTGTCAGCACTCACCTCACCTCCCCTGAGGCACACAGATACCTGCCCAGGCCTGTGTGTGCACGAGCGTATGGCCAGTGCCACAGGCCTATCTGCCCTCTCTTCCAGTGCCAGCTTGCTCCAGTCCCTGTCCACAGGCTTCCTCTCCTTCCTGGGGAGAGCCTAGGAGTTTGCTAAGAGCACAGACCAATCCACATACACAAGATCCCCCTTGGGAACTGGCCACTGAAAGAGATAGTGTGGGAGGGAGCCCAACCACACCAGGCTGTGGGGATTATCTGCACATGTGCAAGAGGTTTAGCAAATCTCTCAGGGCTTTAGGCTAGGTTAGAGGAAGCAGGCTGATAAGGGCCAGTCTGTGGTAGGAGAAGGCGTCAACTCCTGGTTTGCTTTTGGGACACAGGCAAAAGTGTGCTGGAGCCAGCTCTGACTAGCTCCTGAAGGCCACTGTTAAATTTTCAGGGTAAGCATTTGCACTTCAGAAATCAGCAAAATCTACAAATCAAGGCTTAATTTATTGTTTTGTTGATTGTCTAGCCTTAAGAAAGTGATGGAGAAAATGTTAATTAAAGCAGATTAAACTTAAAAATTTAAGATATTTCCTAGGTGTATGACCCTGGGAAAGTCACTTAACCCTGTTTGTCTCAGTTTGCTAATCTGTAAAATGACCTAGAAAAGGAAATGGCAAACCACTCCAGTATCTTTTGCCAAGAAAGCCCCAAATGGGGGCGGGGTAGCTAGGTGGTACAGTGGAGAGAGCACCAGCCCTGGAGTCAGGAGGACCTGAGTTGAAATCAGGTCTCAGACACTTATTACCTAGCCGTGTGAACCTGGGCAAGTCACTTAACCCCGGGCAAGTCACTTAACCCCCATTGTCTCCAAAATTAAAAAACAAACAAACAAAAAAGAAAGCCCTAAATGGGGCCAGGAAGAGTTGGATAGGACTAAAATGACTGAACAACAAAAATTTTAAAATGTTTTATGTTAGTCAGGGCCCTCCTCCAGATAGCGAGTTGTTAAAAACAAACAAAAACATTTACCAGCGTAGCCCTTTCTCCCTACCTCTACCCAAGCGTCTGCCTGTAGTCCCCAAATTTCCTCTGGGGAAGGCTCAATGTCTATGGGCATATGAGATATGTGGAATCAGGGCCTCCAAGAGATCTAGATGTGGGCAACACCGGCTGTGTATATGTGCACACATATACTGTGCATCCATAGGCATGGCTGTGGGCCCTGGGCATCTCTGTATGTGGCTGTGAACTGTGCTGCGATGTCCACTATAGTGCAGGTTTTGTGAAGCTGTTTGTTGGAGTTATGTAATTGTAATTGTGTGTAGTGTTGTGCAGTTGGAGTTGTGTGTTTGTGTGTCCCTGTATGTCTGTGGATATCTGTACTTCCGTGGGTAGTTATGCCTTAAGATATAGAGCTGGAAGGAACCTGGCAGGGTCCAGGCAGGGGAGAGTCCAAAGAGGTGAGGGGAAGGGAATTCTGGAGATCACACAGCAGGTAGTCGATGGCCCAGTCGGGGTTCCAGCCCAGATCCATTTGCCCAATGCAAGGTACCTTCTTCCCCATCCGGCTTGTGTGTGCGGCTCTAATCGTGTATCCGTGTGTGACCGCCTGTCCCGCCCTGCTTGGGTCCAAGGATTCAGGTCGATTTGTGGATTTGTGCCTGTCTGTGACTGTGTGGCTGGCTGCATACTTATGCGTGTGTGTGTGTGTGCGCGTGTGTGTGTGTGTGTGTGTGTGTGTGTGTGTGTGTGTGCGTGCGCGCGCGTCCTCCCCACGGCCGCACTCCTCCGGCACGGGCCGCCTTCCCTGTTCCCTGGCCTCGTGGCTCCGGCCCTGGCCGGAGTTCGCTGGGAGCTCCCCCCCCCGCCCCCGCCCCGACTCCCGCCCCAGCGCTGGGCTCCAGGTCCCGCCCTCCCCTCTCCTCCTCCACTCCCATCCCCTCCTCTCCCCTCCCTGCTCCCCGCCTCCGGCCGCCTCCTCTGGGCTGCCCTGTCACCGCCACTGAGCGACCTACCTACGGAGGCGCGCACAGGCGCTGGAGTCGGAGCCGAAGCCGGAGCCGGAGTCCGAGCCGGAGTCCCAGCAGGGCAAGGGCCGGGCTGGGGCCAGGGCCAGAGTGTGGACCCCGCCCCTCCCCATCGGGGGCTTCAGGAGGGGGGGGAAGGTGAGGAGGAACGGGAACCGGGGGAACAGGGGTTCTCGAGACCCCTCACCCCAAAGTGGAATCGGGACCCCCGAGACTGGCAGTGCCCATCGCCTGCTTATCCCGAGTACGTGCCTATCCCGTTCGGGTCCCGGGATGGGCGGGGGGCGTCAGGTGGCCGGCCTGGTACCCAGTCCCTCCGGGGTCCTCCCTCGGAGAGCTGGACCAACCAACTTGGTTGAGCCGGAGGGGAGAGGAGCCCAAAGGGATGGCAGAGGCCAGGAGAGAGTGGTGGTGGGGTGGGGTGGGGGTCCACGGGAGCCTTGTTTACGTCTGCTGGGCTCAGTGACCCGGAGCTCACAAGCACACAGCTTTAGGCCTCCCCCCGCCCCCGCCCCCGCCCCACCCCACCCCACAGTCACCCTTCCTGGGACATCCTTACCCCAGCACGGAATTTTGGGAAGGGGGGAGGAGAGAGGAGATGTGGTTGTAAAGGGGTAATGGGGCTGTAAAGGCTGTGACCCAGGGGAAGGGTCATATGCAGAGAGAGGAGGGGATTAAAATGAAGGAAAAAGGCTGTAAGAGGGATGGACGGAGGAGGGGTCTATGGGGAGGTGAAGGCTGTGAGCTATGTCGGGGGGAGGTCTGTGAGGAGGACAATATTGGGGGTTTCCATTGGAGAAAGGGGAGAAGGACATGGAAGAATTATGGGAGGGGGGCTCCCAGAGGGGCTTGTGAAAAGTTTGGAAGGGAGAGGAAGGAGACATGGGAGAAGGAGGCTATAGGGAGAAAAGAAACAAGGAGAAAAAGTATGAGGGGAGGGGGCTGTGAACCAGGGGAAGGGGTATGGAGGAAGAAAGGGCTAAAGAAGGAGAAAGATATGGAAGATTGTAACAGAGAGAGCGAGCTAAGGGACAAAGAAGTGGCTGGATCTGTGTCTCCCTGGATTCTGGGCATTTCTAATGCCAGAAGTCATAGGAGCGCTAGATTTGGGGCTGGAAGGGACCCTAGAAGTTATTGAGTCTAACTCTCTCATTTCAAAAGAAGAAACTGAGGCCAAGCAGGTAATAAGTAGCAGGGTAGAATTTGAACTCAGGCCCTCTGACTCCAAATCATTCCCTTTTTTCCTTCCGTAATGGGGGGAGGCGGGGCAAGGAGGAGAAGGTTTGAGATGAAAACAGAGATACTGCCAAGCTTTGGGGGGGAGGTTATGAGGGGTTAGGTCACAGAGCTGTAACTTTGGGCCCTGCCTTCCTGGAGTCAGGCCCCCCTGGCAGAGCTGCCCTGCCCCATCCTGTCCTGGATGCCCTGCACCCATGCCATGTTCCGGAGAAGTGCCCAGGCCACAGCCCCGCCCGTCACCAGGGTGACTGTCGGGTGACCCAGCTTCCCTCCCAAGCCCAGGACCGCCCTCCGAAGTCAGCTCCCAGCAGCCTGCCTGTCACCCGATCCACCCACCCAGGAAACTTCACTATGTAACTTGTATGCCCAAGGCAGCCCTGGCTCCCCAGGCCACCCTGTCTAATCCTTGCAGTTCTCCTGGAGGCACTGAGGTCTCAAGGGGGCAGCCTTGGCCTAGGGCCATCCACAGCTTCGAGCTCTTCAACTCCCCTTCCTCTCCTCCACAGCCAAGGAGCCCTCCTTGCTGTTTTGGGGGGATAGGAGAGGGATTGGCTTCCCCTCAGGAGAGGGGCCCCAACCTTGGAGGAGGCAGCTCAGGAAAAGTAGCCTTAAGAAAGAGCTTAGAATGTCCTGATCTCTGAGGGAGTCTGGAGCTTTGAGGGGGCCCAGGGTGGAGTGGAGGTGGGGAACTGGAAGCTAAGAGCCCTAAGTAGCCATAAATTAGGTTTAAAAGAATTAGCACAGTCCCATGGGCTCTACTACAGCTCAGTTAATCCACTTGTACCCTTAACCCAGCTGCAGTGAAAAGACCCAAAGAAACCTGGGTTCCAGCCTCCAACACCTTTTTGTGTTTTATCCACCAGCCTTGCCTATAGAGGACCTTTAAAAGGGGTTTGTTGAAATGAATTGAATTGCTAGCTGTGTGACCACAAGCAAGGCAGTTACCCTCTCTGAACTCAATGCCCTGTGTGTGTGTGTGTGTGTGTGTTTGTGTGTGGTTAGTCATTTTTCAGTCACGTCTGACTCTTCATGACCCCGTTTGGGGTTCTCTTGGCAAAGGTACTGGAGTGGTTTGCCATTTCCTTCTCCAGCTCACTTTACAAGTGAGGAAACTGAGGCAAACAGGGCTAAGTGACTTGCCTAGGGTCACATGGCTAGGAAATGTCTGAGGCCAGATGTGAACTCAGGTCTTCTTGACTCTAGGCCCAGTGCTCTATCCACTGTACCACCTAGCTGACCTCAGTGCCCTAGGGGTGAGAGATGCTATGGAGAACATGGAAAAAACTCTGGACTTAGAGTCAAAACATTCCATAGGTATGGATTGAATCCAGATTCTACCACTTCTTCTCTTTGGGCCTTAGTTTCGTTATCTGTAAAGTGGGAGGGAATTGGATTAGATGATCTGTCAAGTGCCATCTGGTGCTCACATTTTGTTGTTCCCAGATGAAACACTGTCCTGGGGAAGACAGAGGGAGTTAGAAAGGGGGTGGGGGGCAGCATCCCTGGGGCCCTGAGTAGATCAAGCACTGGACCTATCTCGAAGGGTTGTAGTGAAGATGAAATGAGATAATATTTGTACGAAGTGCTTAGCACAATGCCTGGCACGTAGTAGGTGCAATAGAAATACTTGTCTCTTCTCCTTTTCTCCCCCGCCACCCCCTGCCTCCCAGCCCTTTCCCATGCCAGCTAGGCAGGTAAAGATAGAAGCCTAGGCCCTAGCAAGAGGCACTCACTCTCAGTCAGCCTATTCTGTCCCCAGGAGGCGGTCAGTGTTCTGGAGCTCAGACTAGGCCAGGCTGCTCCATCGCTCCTCCCCAACCCCCAGCAAGAAAGTATCTAAGGCCAGGTGAGGCCCCCTGGCCCCAGGGAAGGGAGCCTCTCTAGGGGGCCACACACGTTGGCCCAGTGCATGGAGATTCAATTCAATGTTTAAAAAAATCTATTAAGCAATCTGGGGGATTGGACCCAGGCCCTGCTCTCAAGGAGCTTACAATCTAATGAGAGAGGGAAAGAGAAGAGAAACCAAGCTCAAAAAAATGAGCAAGATAAGAGGGAGGTGGTGGTAAGTGCCTGCCTGATCGGTCAAAGTGCTATGACACTCCAGCAGGGTGGAGAAGGGGAGGTTGTGGAAGGCCAACTCTATGGGAAGCAAGATTCCTTCCTTGAAGGAGGAGAAAGGTTTTCATTGTCACTGATGTCAGAGTGACAGTACAGTGCAAAGGGTACTGACCTGGGAGTCACAGGGACCTTTACTACCTTTCTGTGTTTACTTGGGCCAATTATTTCACCTCTCTGTGCCTCAGTTTCCTCATCTGTAAAATGGGTGAAGTGGACTGAATAACCTCAGAACTCCCTCCTAGTTCTGGATCTGTTTTACTATGAACATTCCAAGCATGGAGGATGAAGTTGGAGCAGGACAAGATTGGGGAGCAAGTAGCAATAAAGGGGAGAAGGAAAGCTGGAGAGGTGGGGCCTTGAATGGCAGGCTCAGGACTTCTGCTTTCCTTTGGCCATGAGGAGCTACTTCACTGTTCTGGAGGAGAAGAGTGGCCTGGGCTATTTGGTTTAAGGGCAGAGAGACTAAGGCCAAGCAGAGGGTAAGGGGGAGAGCTTTTGCAAAAGTAAAAATGGCAGAACTAGTGACTGATTGGCTCTAAGGGTGAGGGGGATGGAAGGGTCGAAGATGGTGCCAGGGTTTCCAGTCTGGGTGACTGGGAAGCTGGTGGAGCCATCCACAAACACAGGGCAGTTGGGGGATGGGAGGAAAGGACCAGCCCCAGACCCAGGGCGAGTCTTCTCCTTGGTGCCTGTCTGGCTTGGCATTTACTCCTCATTTGGGGGAGAAACAGGTGCTACTACTGTGGGGAGGATTCCTGTCCACAGGTGGGAGCCATACCCCATTGGTGATACAGGGGAATAAGGGTTGGGGGATGCCTAGTGTGGAAGGGAAACTGGACTTCCCAGATCTAAATAATGGCTGTGCTAAAAGGGGAAGGGGAGAAACCAGGTAGTTCCCATGTAGCTGTAGATGCTGCTATGATCCAGAGAAAGGAAAGACCCAAGGCTCACCACAAGATAGTTAATGGAACTCAGGTCTCCAGATTCCTAGGCCTGGGCTCTTTCTACCCCACTCTGCTTGGTGGGGTAGGGGTGGGGGCTTCTGGTGGGGAACGGTTCTTGCTTCAAATTAGTGGTTGATTACGTTTTCGGTTTCCCATGTCTCACTGATGGGTATCAGAGAGGGCAGTGGAGGCTCTGCGGGTTGGGCACAAGAGAAGGGATGAAGGACTCAGTGTGTTGGCATGGGGGGAGTAAGGTCTCAGTGAAGGGAATGAGGCTCAGTGAGGGTGAGGGCACTCAGTAGGAGTGGGCAGGGGGAGCTCATTGAAGGGATGATGATTCAATGAGAGGGACAGCTGAGTAACCCTCTCTCTCTCCATGCTGTGGATATGAGAACCCTGTGTTGAGTGTCTGTATCATTACACACACACACACACACACACACACACACTCTCCTACTGCCCCCCACTCCACCTGAATGTCCCCAATCCCTTATGAGCCTGGTTGATGACATAAGAGACTTGCTGTTTGGGACCAAGCACTGATCTCCCCCCATCCCCCTGCCCCCTTTAGAGAGAATAGCACAGCACTAGAAGCAGAGGGAGGGCAGACTCAGCCAGGGTTGTGGACTGGGGCGGGGGGGGGGGG